CAAGCAAACCCATTACAGGACCTGTTGGAGAACAAGGATAATCCATTAAAATACACTGCTGAGGGGAGCAGCGGGCGAGACAGGAGAGGTCTGCTGTGAAGTCTTATCACAAAAATATGAAGAAAACTTTTTCTAAATAAAGACAAAGATTAAGTAGGATTGAGCAAGTCTGATATTATTAGGGCAGATTTTAGCATTAGAAAGCCATTAGAGATCACATAATATAGTCAATTTTTTTATTTACAAATAATGAAACCGGTACATAAAGTTTAAGTAACCTTAGATTCTATAACTCAAATTATACTCAAAGGCCTTCTTCAAAAGGAGGGCTTTTGTCATATTTAATGTAATACTGTTTATATTGATTTGCTAGTAGCCCTTTTAAGTACCTGTGTGCTTAATTGTGACTATGACTTCAGCATCAATCTGGTGTTCACGTCATTACTACAATGAAAACACCCACCATCATTTGGTGGCAGCCTAAGAGCATTCTGTTTTGTAGAAATGTTATTTCTGAAAGGTTAACTCTGAACCTAGACGGGTCACTAGAGGAAACCTCCCTCCACACACCTGTAACTAGCTCTGGCAAGTAACTGCCGGATGCGTCCTTTCACCTCTTCAGCAGTCTCTCTGTCAGCGATTTCTTCAGGAATCTCCTCTTCTTCCTGGGGGAGCTTTACCAACTGCTGCAGGGTGAGCTTCAACTCTGGCAGCATGGCTTCCCACTCCTCCTCTGGGTCCAGCACAGCAGCTGAGTGAGGAGATCTCGCTTAGTTTTTTTTTTTAAAGATATAACTTTATTTATTTATGTATAAAAGAACTGGGGTGTAGGCCAGAGATATGAGGGGTGACAGGATTCACCAAAGATATAGTGGGAGCAGAACGAGTGGATCTATTGAAATACACTGCTGAGGGGAACAGCGGGAGGGACAGGAGAGGTCTGCTGCTCCCTGTGGGCCAGCTTCCTGTGTGGGGATAGAACTCAGGCCGCAGTATCTGGCAACAGCCTGGTAGTGCTGTGACTAACCCCTGTGCAACCAGGGAGGCCCTCACTTAAGAGTCTTTTACTGGAATGTCTGCAACAGGCTATGTGAGGTGAGGATTCCCACCCAGTAAACTACTCACAAGCAGGAACAGTTCGCCTCTGGGCCTTCATCTCTTGTAACTTCTGGGTTTCCTTCTGCAGTGGTCCAGCAAGGTCAGTATCACTAAGCTATCAAGGTAAAATGAACACTGGGGTTAACGAGTCACAGAATTTCACCCGTTTCCATTTAATTCCCTCTCCCACTTACCTTGCAGGAAAAGGGATTATTGGCGAGAAAACTGGCCAGCAGCTGGATGGCATTTTTACACACTAGCACTGACTTGTCCGCTAGACGTCCCACTGCTAATGCCATCACTGCCTGGAAACGTGTCAGGGGGAGAGCCTGTATGGGTAGGAAGAGAAGGATCAGTTCACATCTCACATCATCCATTCTGGTCAAGGCGATCTTCAGGTATATTCTAAATGGTCTAACCACTCATTCTAAAGGAGCTTCTATGTGACATAGTTAAGAAATACCCTTTGGAGGGTGAACACAATGCAGCCATCGTTGTCCTTAATAGAAGAACTTTGCTGTTGGTAGTAACAACCAGAATTGTTCTCTTCCTTGGGGTATTATTTTTGACACGATTCCTCTTTTCTCTGGCCTGTACACGGGGATTCTGTGTTTCTTAATCATGTAGCAGGTTATTCACCTTCTGCTGGACGATTCTAGTGAAGAGCTGCAAGACACGGCTCCGCACAAAGGAGTTGACGTCATGGCCGTGGGCTTGCAGGGTGTCCAAAAACTGATCTCTGGTGTCACGGGCTGCGTCCTCCAGCTGATCCCCATTCAAAACCTGCAGTACCATCTCCGCCATGGCTGCTAGCACAGCATTGCGCATCATGTAGTTCTGAGAGAGAACGAAAACTGGCATGTGTTTCTGTGCTCCCACATCAATTCTCCAGTCTAAACTTGTGCATCCACCCAGGCATATGGAAAGGGTAGGGCCTTTAGTCACGGTTAAGTTTGACTGGTTTAGTTATGACCTTTTCTGGTCAACTGCCTAGGTATTCACCTGCAAGGTCCCTGGAGTGAGCTGAATCCCAGAGGGCCTTTGCTCAGAGAATGTAGGGACAAAGCAAACAAGAGCCAAAACAATTTCCCTATAAGGTTCACTCAGATAACTATGGTAGTAATTGAATATGTAGTCACTGCCTATCTTTTTTTAAAAAAGATTTACTTGGCCCTCCCTGGTGGCGCAGCGGGTTAAAGCACAGCACTGAGAATCTGGGGCCACTTCCGTATGAGTTCGATTCCCGCCTGCCGCCTGCCCCGGAGGAGACCACATGGCGAGCCAGACCTCTCCTGACCCGCCCGCTGCTCCCCTCA